TTCACTTTGAAGAGTTAATCACAACAATGCTTCAAATCAATACTTCAAATCATATCTGAAGCAACTATTGTGTGTTTCTAGTGTATTCCTTGGATTTATGCAGCTATTATTTATGTTCCAGGTCTTCTGCTGTAATTCTCAGATCTGCCAAAGGTCCTATCTGTTCTGAAGGCTGAACACCAGATAAAGTTATTTGCCTCTTCATTTGAGACACCTTAGCACAATTCAGCAATTTAAACACTGTACTGATCAAGGAATCCCCAAATTTAATTTTCTCAAGTGTTTATGTAATTAGTTAAAATTTATGGTGGTCATGGAATAGCCTTTAGTTTTCTAAAATCAATCAAATCTGCCCATGCCTCATAGGTGATAAACAAATTAACTTTCTTGTAAATTTCCTCCAAGAGCTCAAATAAAAGGTCTGAATCTTTCTTACTATCCTATTAATAGGTATCCATCTTGCAAAATATTTCTGATTTTACTTCTAGGAAGTGTCAAGGCCATGCCTTGGTTCCTGCCTTGATAGGCAGAAAAATCTTCACTCATCCACTTTATTCTTTTACTGTCATATGGTTCAGCTTCTGAAAATTTCACAGAGAGTACTCATACCCTCAACAAATTACAATTCCTTTCTGTCATTTTCCATAATATTAACTAGGCTTTTAGTTTTCTAGATTTTACTTTCGTCTGATTGTTTTCTCTTAGTTTCCATCCTTTACATTTAGAAAACCATTTTCTGCTGTTCTATTAAAATCTTGAAAGCCAGCCAGCGAAAAATAGAACTGAAACCAGTCTTGTAAACATTGTTTTAAAGACATACACATTACAGATTTGCAGCTCCTAATCCAAAAATCACAGTTTTAGTCTGTTTCTATGTGTAGGAGCACAAGTTAATGATCACTGCTTGGAAACAATTAAATCCAATTAATGAACAGTTGACAAAGAAAAAGAACTGCAGATACTGGAAATCAGAAACAGAAATGGAAATTGTTGGAAAAACCTAGCAGGTCTGACAGCATCTGTGGAGAGAAAGCACAGTTAATGTTTCAGGTCCAGTGACCCTTCTTCAGAACTGGACTGTTCAGATCACCTCTCATTCTTCTAAAATCAGTCAATAGCAACCCAACCTGTATAGCATTTGCTCATAAGAGAATCTCTCTATACTAGGATCATACTAGTGAATATTTTCTGAACTGTTTCCAATGAAACAATATCTTTCCTTAAATAAGTGGACCGAAGTTCCTCACAGTGCTCCAGATGTGGTCTCCCCAGTACCTTGTACAGTTGCAGTAAGAAAGAATGCCCTATTTATACACCAACATTCCATTAGCCTTTCTGAGTACTGCTGCACCTGTGTGCTAGCTTTCTGTTTTTCATGAACAAGTACCCCCAAATCCCTTCTGTTATATTTTTCTGCAGTTTTTCTCCATTTAAATTATATTCTGTTCTTCTATTCTCCCATCCAAAATGAACAACTTCACACTTTTCCCACAGTATACTCATTTGCCAACTTTTTTCCCTATTTACTTAACCTGTTTAAATATGTATGATCCAAGGGAGACCTTGCAAGTACTGAAGTGAATAGGAAACCTGGTGTTGCAGAACATGCATCACAGCCACAACATCACTGGCAGAGTTTCTAATGGCATTGTTCTTAAACCAGCTATCTTAAGATCTTTAGCTGCGATATTCTCTCCATCTTATAAATGGTGGCTGATCATTCTACAATGTTAGGAATCAACAGCCCATACCAGCCTAAAAAAGCTTAGACAATTTGAAGCTTGGCTGACAAGTAACATTTACACCACCTAAAAACTGAACAATATCCATTTTCAGCATGAAAAAAATGCAATGTGACCTTCAATTGCACTGTCATTTTGCTGAGGCTTTTGCTCTTAAAATGCTGTGGTCATTACTGACTAAGAATGTCATTGAATCAACTATATCAATACTATGGCCATGAAAGAGAAAGAGATTCTAAATAATCTACAATAAGTGGTTTGACATCCGATCCATCAATGTCTTTCTAGCATCTACACAATGCAAATCAAGAGTGTGATGGAATGAATAGGCACAGCTGCAACAAAACTCTTAAGAGGTTCAACATCATTCAGGACAAACAGTCCAACTGAACTTGCCCACTAAACTTATTATCCAACCTTTGTAACACATCTAAACTGTGGCTGCAATATATATTGTCTACACATTGCACTGCAGCATCATGCCAAGCTTGCTTCGTGAGTATATCGCAGCCATATGACTTCTGCTACTAAGAAGGACAGGGTCACAGACTGTCCTGATTTAGATATATTTTGTGACTTCATCACTGATAGGCTAAAATCTGGAAATTGTCTACTTAATGCAATCTGGACTTGAGCAATTCAAGGAAACCCCCCACCACCTCCAGCACCACCATCACAACCATCACAACCATCACAACCACCACAATAGGATTCACCATCAATGCAATCTTATTAGAATTAACCACATCCTACAAACAAATTTTGTAAATTCTTCGGCTGCTCACAGTATCTGCTGGATTATAAGATGCTAAATATCATTAAACTGTCTGAGCTAAACCACTTACTTACAATTAAACAAGAACCTTGGAAGCAAAAGAGAACAGAGGCAAAAATATTAAACTATTCAAACTGGTAATAGTTCATAAAGGGTTGAGCTATCCTTTTAAGATTGCTGCTTTCAGTTTTCGTTCTACAGTTTTTTTTTTAAATAATCATATAAGCCTTCTTAACTATCTTGATAAACACAATGTAGTCTCAAAGGTTCTCCTCTGAGATGAGTTGACGAACATAGAATTTATGAGCTTTAAATTCCCACAGAGCTCATTATGGCCTTGTCAGGACTGAAAACTTACCATTCAGATGCAAAATTTTTATCTGCCTGACCTGCTTGAGGTAGTTCTCTTTCCATATAGAAATCAACCAAACAGAATGATTAATAGCTTTCATATCTTTATAGACAATGACATAACTACATGCAAAAGCTGTGTTTCCTTTCCTTGGTTTCAAATACATATATTAAAACAGAAATAGACCATAAGATATGAGAGCAGGATTAGGTCATTCAGCCCAATGAATCTGCTTCGCCATTTGATCATGGGTAATATGTTTCTCAACCCCATTCTCCTGCCTTCTCTCTGTAACCCTTAATCCCCTTACTAATCAAGAACAGACCTATCGCTGCTTTAAATACACTCAGCGACTTCACCTCCGCAGCCCTCTGTAGAACTCTGAGTCCCAAAGAGCCATCACCCTCTAGTTGAAGAAATTCCTCATCATTTCAGTTCTAAAGTGTTGTCCCTTCACCCCGAGTCTGTGCCCTGGGTGCCTACTAGTGGAGACATTTTCTCTACATACATTCTATCCAAGCCTCTCAGCATCCTGTAAGTTTCAGTCAAATCCCCCTCATCCTTCTAAACTCCATCAAGTACAGACCCAGAGTCCTCATATTACAAGCCCTTCATCCTCAGGATCATTCTTGTAAACCTCTTCTGGACACTCTCCATGCCAGCACATTTTTCCTTGGATACAGGGCCTAAAACTGCTCAGAATATTCCAAATCCAGTCTGACCAGAGCCCTTTACAGCCTTAGCAGTACATCTCTGCTCTTATTTTCTAGCCCTCTTGAAATGAATAACAAGATTGCATTTGTCATCCTAACCACTAACTGTACCTACATGTTAACCTTAAGTGAATCATGAACTAGGACTCCTGAGTCCATTTGCATTTCAGATTTCCAAAGCTTTTCCCCATTTAAAAAATAGTTTACACCTCTAATTTTCCTACCAAAATGTATAACCTCACACTTTGCCACATTGTATTCCATCTGTAACTTCTTTGCCCATTCGCCTCGTATGTCCAAGTCCTTGTGTAGCCATCGTGCTTCCTCATCACTACCTGTCCCTCCACCTATCTTTGTGTCATCTGCAAACTTAGCAACAACATCCACTGGCTGTCCTTTGTCTAACTTGTTTTGTTACCTCCTTAAAGAATTCTAATGGATTTGTCAGGCATGACCTGCCCTTGACGGAGCCATGCAACTCCCGCCCTATTTTACCATACTCTTCCACAAACGCAATTCTTAATAATGGACTCTAATATCTTAGCAATAACCACGGTCAAGCTAACTGGCCTCTAGTTTCCTGTTTCTTGCCTTCCTCCCTCTTGAAAAGGGCTCCTGCATCATCCTCCCTTTAGAATGTTTCTTCTTCCTTAGGATGAATTTCTGCTGTGTCTTTCAAATTACCTACAGAAACTCCTGCCATTGCTGCTCCACCATCTTTCCTTCCAATCAACTTTGGCCAGCTCCTCCCTCATGTTTTTGCAATTGTGATACCATTACATCAGGTTCAGTCTTCTCCCTCTCAAACTGCAGGGTAAATTCTGACATATTATGGTCACTGCCCTCTTGGGGTTCCTTCACCTTCAGCACCCTAATCAAGTCTGCCTCATTACACATCACTACATCCAGAATTGCATGTTCCCTAGTGGGGTCTACCATAAGCTGCTCCAAAAATACCATCTCCTAGACACTCTAAATATGAGTACAAATATGTATGAGCCTGCTCAGCATGCGTCACAAATTTGTTCACAATTTTAATCATGGTGATTCCAATCAAATAGAATGTTCTATTTTCTAATTTGTGACCAATATTCCTGCATAAATTGCAAAGATTGTTTGCCTCTGGTTTATCATTAACAAAGAAGCAGTCTCCTTTTTAAACCTTAACTACTTAATCTGTTCATTAACAATAACAATTGACATTTACACACCACATTTATGGCAGCAAAACATCCCGTAACACTTCATAGGAACATTATCAAAAATAATTTAAAAATGAAAGAGTTTCTCATTATGTTAAAACTTGCTGTTAGTAGACCACGAATGTTACAGTACTAGGTAACTTGCTAAGAATCATTATCTCACAAATCTTATATATGTGCTTCTGATGTATTAACTGTCATTGTGCTGTGGTCCAGGAGTGCTCAGTGTCAGAAGAGGTGGAGATGATGGTTGAGAGCCTTCTTGACGTCTTGCTACAGACTCTGCTTGCTATTATGAATAAGTCCCAGATGGCGGAGGCGGTAAGAGGACAGCGTTGCCCACAGTGCACGGCAGAGATAACTGTTAGTAACTAACGATCCTTTTTAATAGTTCTCACCCATGCATGGATTTCTCCCTCCCGCCTCCCAAACCCACATCCCACAAGCCTTTCTGACTGCAAGACTGTGTATGAATTCAAAATCTCATGTTTGTACTTCATCTACACTCCATATTTGGGTATGTTTAGATTGACTGCATTCTAATACTTGAAGATGCATTGTTATCTGACAGGATCCAAGGAGTTAAGCCATGATTTTTGTCATCAGGCAAGCATGATTTTTATGATGCAATATAGTTGGTTGATAATGAGAAATTATTTTGTTTCAACGTAATATTCTTTAAATTATTTTTCCTGGAATACTTGTACCCCAAGTACAATAAAGAGCTGGTCATTCTATAAACGAGTGATCCTTTGGTGTTCATATAAAATTAGAAAGCACTCATTGGGCAATTTGATGACAATGCCTCTTTAAGCAATAAATCATCTGGAGAACGATAACGATTGGGTGCACATTTCTGTAATGTTTACCAGACTTCCTAAAAAAAAATTGATTAATCTACTGTTGTTGTATTTGGATAAAAGTTTGACATTGATTTCATGATTGACTTCCAGTTATTCCCCTGACCTAAATGTGTTAAATGACAGCTGAACAATTTTTACAAAATTAGTATAAGCAAAAATTGTAGGCTGGCTGCTTTTATAAAGTCCACAAAGCTAAGTATAGATGCAGGAAACCACTCAACCCAATTAGTTCATCCTTCCATAAAAATGTACTATCCCCATATTTTTCCCTTTCTTAGCCCAGGGCTTCTGAAACCAATTATAGCACTGTGACTGCTGCCTTGGAAACAGTCAGCCAAGTACAAACCTCAGACTGCATTTTGGACCCATCTGTTCAGTATAGCTGAGATGACAAGGTGTAGAGCTGGATGAACACAGCAGGCCAAGCAGCATCAGAGGAGCAGGAAAGCTGACGTTTCGAGCCTAGACCCTTCTTCAGATTCTCCAGCATCTGCAGTTCCTACTATCTCTGTTCAGTGTAGCTTTATGCTTAACTGTATCAGTGGGGAAACTTAAGAATAATAGATATTTTTAAAAACAGCAAAATAAATTAAATGAAATAAATGAAAGTGTGTTTGTTCCCTTTTGATACTGTCCTGGGATTAAGTAACATTTCCTGCAATAAGCAGCCTCCTATTTTTCACTTCAAATAAGAATAAGTTTCTTTCTCATTACATTCCTCCCAGGGCGTGGAGACTAAGATTGGAGAGCTGTGAAATAGGGAAGACTAACTCCCCATGCCTCAAACGTCAGTTGAGCTGGAGCCCTTATGACCTACTAAATACAGTGTTTTTTATGCAGTTTATCAAAGATGTGGCATGTAATTGCATAATAAATCCATAAAACTCTATGTGCGTCATTGTCTTGCTACAACCATTTCAACCCCTTTGACTGGGTGTACCATATGCTGTGTCATGATCTCAGACACTGATGGTTACACTTTGCTCTGGTTCCCTAGGGGGAGTATGTAACCTGTCTACTGTCCCTACTTCGGCAAATGGCAGATAACCACTATCAACAATTGCTTGATAATTTCCAGAGCAAGGAGGAGCTCAAGGTAAAAATAATTTGACTTTCAATCTTCTGTGAGTAGCTTAAGTGAAAATATAGGTATTAGAAAAAGCAAGATCACCTCAATGTTCTCCAGCCCCTGGGAATAAGCTCTGATCAGCATTTTGCACACTCAAAGCATGGTACTGGATTGTCCTTTTAATTTTGTTTCCATTGTGTGTCATTCTTTGGAATAATATAAACCCCATGGAGATCAATCATAGGGAACAAGTTTCTTACATTTAATCTTAAGCATATACCAGATTTATACAGTTGCATATTCTTGTTGGTTCCTGAGTACCAGGCCACTTCTAATACGAAGTGCAGACATTGGGAGAATCATGTATCCATCTGTAATATCAGCCAGCTGTAAGAAAAAAATTGAATAGTTTGAACCCAATTCCAAGTGTGGACCCATATCCACAGCAAAAGCCAATGCCTAGAATTATTACACGATTATCAATTGCACTCAAAAAGATCATTATTGGCTTTATGGCATTGGGAAGGGGGGAATGTGGTGGTTGTAGATCTTTCCTAAATTTTGGATTGAGGATAGTTGTTGGGAAATTTACTGTGTATCTGGCCAGTGTTATAATCAGGTGTGAAGGGTTCAAGTAGCTCCCCTCTTTTTCTACATATCTCAGATTTTTTGAAAAGGGTATATTTGCTGGTTCTGTAGGTATCTAACTGTTTACACACTACAATTATAAAAGAACCAAACAGACAGGCTTTATTCAGTTTTACAAAAGAAGTTAAGTTCAATGTACTTGATCCTATCTAAGTGTAAAAAAAAAATACACTCACAATTACTTTGTAAACCATTTACAAAATGAGGAAGGATAGATTAATTGAACTAGAGTCCAGAGAAATAACAGGGGTACAAAACAGAAGTTTCTGGAAAAACTGGAAATAAAAGTGGTATACAGTTTGTGGACCTTGATGACTTGGCGGGCTTCAGAATGAGTTTTGTGGTTTTGCTATTTCCTTGGTGGATGCAATTTAATGATGTAGCTGGCTGATATGGCTTTTCTTCTAGAGACAGTATTGCAGTCTCTGTCTGCAGCAGATGCGTCCCTGACTGGTCACCATTTTCAAGCAGGGTTCTAAAATTTGTAAGGTGGGTTGAAAAAAGGGGAAGGATGGAGGGACCCCAGTTGGGTTTTCCCTTATCAACATCTCAGCTATTTGTCCTGTTACTGCAGAAAAGGCAGAACACGCACAGAATCCTGTTGTTTCTGGATCATTGCACAGGGATTCAAACATGGCTATTACTCTTTTATTCCATCTTGTGACATATTATGTTCGTTTCTAGGGATCACCTACCCAGCCAGGATGCCATTGCTCAAGCGAACAGGTTCCAGCATACAACTCTTATAGCTTGACTGGAAACCCTGTCTCATGCAGTGTCCCATTGTCCAAGCAATAGGTTAACCAGTTCATCTCTACCAGTTGAGTACCTTAGGTGATTGCCTTGATTCCTTGCTAAAGGGAACAGGATATGAAGCTCAATTAAATTCTCCTAGTTATGTCCTTGATGGTTCTTTGAGACATGGTGCCTCGGCCTCATTGGATGAGACTGTGGGAATAGGGTTATGCAAATTGGATAGCCATCGTTGACTCTGAGCTCAAGTCATATTTTAATCTCTGTTTTTGAAAAAAGGTTGATTTCAGGTTTTTATCCATAGAATAAAAATCATTATTGACATAAAGCATGTTTACATGACACCAACAATATGCATAACAGTCAAAATGCAAAAACAGTTCCAATAAATTGTTCCATTCTTTAGCAGTGACGTTTCCCCTCTGACTGCACATAGAACATAAAACAGTACAGCACAGTACAGGCCCTTTGGCCCACGATGTTGTGCCGACCTGTCATCCTACTCTAAGATCAAACTACCCTGCATACCTTACATTTTACTATCATCCATGTGCCTATCCCAAGAGTCGCTTAAATGTCCCTAATGTATCTGACTCCACTACCACTGCCGGCAGCGCATTCCACGCACTTACCACTCTCTGTGTAAAGAACCTACCTCTGACATCTCCCCTATACCTTCCTCCAATCACCTTAAAATTATGCCCTCTTGTAATAGTCATTTCTGCTCTGGAAAAAATTCTCTGGCCATCCACTCTATCTATGCCTCCCATCATCTTGTACACCTCTATCAAGTCACCTCTCGTCCTTCTTCACTCCAATGAGAAAAGCCCTAGCTCCCTCAACCTTTCCTCGTAAGACCTGCCCTCCAGTCCAGGCAGCATCCTGGTAAATCTCCTCTGTACCCTCTCTAAAGCTTCCACATCCGAACACAATATTCCAAGTGTGGTCTAACCAGGGGTTTATAGAGCTGCAGCATAACAACATGGCTCTTATACTCAATTCCCCTGCCAATGAAAGCCAATACACCATACACCTTCTTAACAACCCGATCAATTTGGGTGGCAACTTTGAGGGATCTATGGACGTGGACTCCAAGATCCCTCTGTTCTTCCACACTGCCAAGAATCCTGCCATTAACCCTGTATTCTGCATTCAAATTTGACCTTCCAAAATGAATTACTTCACACTTTTCCAGGTTGAATTCCATCTGCCACTTCTTTGCCCAGCTCTGTATCCTGTCAATGTCCCATTGCAACCTACAACAGCCCTCCACATTATCCACAACTCCACCAACCTTTGTGTCATTGGCAAACTTACTAACTCGCCCTTCCACTTCCTCATCCAAGTCATTTATAAAGATCACAAAGAGCAGAGGTCCCAGAACAGATCCCTGTGGAACACCACTGATCGCTGAGCTCCAGGCTGAATGCTTTCCATCTACTACCACTCTCTGTCTTCTATTGGACAGCCAATCCTGTATCCAGACAGTCAAATTTCCCTGAAGCCCATGCCTCCTTACTTTCTGAATGAACCTACTTTGGGGAACTTTATCAAATGCCTTGCTAAAATCCATATACACCATATCCACTGCTCGACCTTCATCAATGTGTTTTGTCACATCCTCAAAGAATTTAATAAGACTTGTGAGGTATGACCTGCCCCTCACAAAGCCATGCTGACTATTTCTAATCAAACTGTGCTTTTCCAAATAATCATAAATACTATCTCTCAGAATCCTCTCCAATAATTTGCCCACCACAGAACTAAGATTGACTGGTCTGTAATTCCCAGGATTATCCCTATTCCTTCCCTTGAACAAGTGAATGACATTTGCCACCCTCCAATCTTCTGGTACTACTCCAGTGGACAGTGAGGACGCAAAGATCATTGCCAAAGGGGCAGCAATCTCTTCCCTCGTTTCCCGTAGAAACCTTGGATATATCCCATCTGGCCCAGGGGACTTATCTATCCTCATGTTTTTCAAAATTTCTAGCACATCCTCCTTCCTAACATCAATCTGTTCGAGGATATCAGCCTGTTTCATGCTGTCATCACAAACGTCAAGGTCCCTCTCACTGGTGAATACTCAAGCAAAGTATTCATTAAGGACCTCCCCTACCACCTCCGACTCCGCACACAAAGTCCCTCCACTATCCCTAATCGGCTCTACCCTCACTATGGCCATCCTCTTGTTCCTCACATAAGTATAGAACGCCTTGGGATTTTCCTTAATCCTACCCACCAAGGCTTTTTCATACCCCCTTCTAGCTCTCCTAAGTCCATTCCTCATTTCCTTCCTGGCTACCTTGTAGACCTCTAGAGCCCTGTCTGATCCTTGCTTCCTCAACCTTAAATAAGCTTCCTTCTTCCTCTTGACTAGATGTTCCACATGTATTGTCATCCAAGGTTCCTTCACCTTACCATTCCTTCCTTGCCTCAGTGGGACAAATCTATCCAGCACTCGTAGCAAGTGCTCCCTGAACAACCTCCACATTTCTGTTGTGCATTTCCCTGAGAACATCTGTTTCCAATTTATGCTCTGCAGTGCTTGCCTAATAGCATTGTAATTCCCTCCCCCAATTAAATACTTTCCCATACTATCTGCTCCTATCCCTCTCCATGATTATAGTAAAGGTCAGGGAGTTGTGATCACTAGCACTGAAATGCTGTCCCACTGAGTGATCTGACAGCTGGCCTGGTTCGTTGCTAAGCACTAAATCCAATATGGCCTCCCCTCTAGTTATCTACATATTGAGTCAGCAATCTTTCCTGGACACACCTGACAAAATCTGCTCCATCTAAATTACTTGCACTTAGGAGGTTCCAGTCAATATTAGGGAAGTTGAAGTCACCCACAACAGCCCTATTACTTCTGCACCTTTCCAAAATCTGCCTCCCAATCTGTCCCTCAGTATCTCTGTTGCTATTAGGGCGTCTATAGAAAACTCACAATAAAGTTACTGCTCCTTTCCTGTTTCTGACTTCCACCCATACTGACTCAGTGGACAAACTCTCCTCGACAACCTCCCTTTCTGCAGCTGTGATACCATCCCTGATTAGCAATGCCTCTCCCTCACCTCTTTTACCTCCCTCCCTATTTCTTTTGAAACATCTAAACCCCAGAACATCCAACAACCATTCCTGCCCCTGTGTTATCCAAGTCTCTGTAATGGCCACAACATCGTAGCTTCAAGTACTGATCCATGCTCTAAGTTCATCACCCTTATTCCTGACACTTATTGCATTAAAATAGACACACTTCAACCTGTTACACTGACTGAAACTTTGCCCTATCAACTGTCTAATCTTCCTCACAGACTCTCTGCATACTGTATCTGCCTGTACCAGCTACCCCAACCTCTGATCCATAGCTCTGGTTCCCATCACCCTGCCATACAATATATCTGTGTCAGTTACATACCTAGACCTTTGAGATAATGTTTCTTATTAACTATAGTGAGGGATGGCTACAACAAATTAAATGTAGGACAAATCTTCAGTGAAAAGATGCAGCTTACTAATGTACTTTTCGTGTAATACTTAAGGCTAACAACTAACTACAGTAACACCTGAAGTTTAGACAAAGGATGAATATTAATTATCAAATGTTGTCATATAATCGACTAACATTATCTTCTCTACAGGTGGGAATATCCATGTTCTTCAAATTTTAATTGTGTTATACAGTACCATTGATTTCATGGTTGATGATACTTGACGTTCACAACCATATAAATTAGGAGCAGGAGCATGCTATGCGACCCCTCGACCTTGCTCCAGCATTGTGACTGTGGCTTGAACTTCACTTTCCTGCCTACCCTATACCCTTCAATTCCTATGTAAGTCATGAATCTATTGACTTCTGCCTAGAAAGTGAATTCCACAGATTAATGATTCTCTGACAGAAAATCATTTCTCAGCATTTCCATCTTAAGTTGGAAATTCCTTATTTTTATGTTGCACAAGGGGAAACATCCTTTTTTCCATCTACCCTGCCAAGTCCCCTCAGGATCTTCTAAGCTTCAATAAGATAATTTTACTTGCTTCTAGACTCCAGCAAGGGAACAGACAGAGGCAACTACAGGTAAGGCTAACCAGCTCGGCAAGCCATCCAACCACAATATTCCCACCTTGTGCAACAGTGCTCTGTCTGTACTCCCCAGAGGAACTATCACTCTCACCGTTTTTAAACTCAGAAAAACTGTTCTTGAGTGAGATGCACTCTGGGGCTTTCCTAACTACCGCCCTTCTGATGGTCACCCATTCCCTCTCTTGACTAAGCTGCCTTAAGTTGCAAGGTAACTGCAACTAAAAACAAGCTATTCACATACCACATCACTCATGCTCCAGAATCCAGTGTTTGAGCTGATCAAATCAGTGGCACTTCCTGCAGGTGTGGTCCATCAGACTGCCAGGTGTATCTAAGATTTCCCACTACTGCAGGCCTTGCAATACAGGGGACAGAGCCCTGTCATATCTTTAGTTAAAAGAAAAATGCTTACTGTAAATTTAAAGTAGAAAATTAATTAAGTTTTATATTGAAAAGAAGCAGCTGGAACTCTTTTCCTTGTGCAGCTTTAAAACAGACAAAAGCAACTTATCCCCCAACCACCAATCGGCTCGTTGCTTTGCCCTGATTTTACTTCATCAGTCTTTTTGAATTCTAGCAGTGTTCCTGATTTGGTTCAGCTGTTGCTCCAACTAATGGGAGAGGGGAGAGAGGACATGGTAACAGAGAATGCAACAAGTAAAGCTGAAAGAAAGAGACCGAATGTGAGTGGGTTCATGATTTGAAGGTGTTGAACTAAATATTAACTCCAGAAGGTTGTAAAGTGCCCAGTCTGAAGATGAGATGTTGTTCCTCCAGTTTGTGCTGTGATTCACTAGAGCACTGCAGCATGCCAAGGACAGACAAGTGGGCATGCGAGCAGGATGCTGTGTTAAAATGACAGGCCACGGGAAGGTTGGGATTATGTTTGCACACAGCCTGGTTGTGTTCTGTAAAGTGGTCACTCAGTCTGCATTTGGTTTCTCCAATGTACAGTTGGCCACGTTGGGTGCCGTGAATACAGTACACAAGATTGAAGGAGGTACAGTGAAATGGTGCTTCAGCTGGAAAGATTGTTTGGATCCTTTGTTGATGAGCAGGGAGGAGGTGAAGGGGCAGGTGTTGCACCTTCTGCAGTTACATGGGAAAGTGCTGTGGGAAGGGAGTGGTGGTGTCACTGGTTGATGAATGGCCTGGGATGTCCCGGGGGGAGTGATCCCTGCAAAATGCAGACAGGGGAATGAAGGGAAGATGTGTTTGGTGGTGGTATTCTATTGGAGTTGTCTGAAATGGCGGACAACGATTTTGTGAATGCGGAGGCTGGTGGGATGAAAAGTGAAGACAAGGGGAACCCGATCACGTTTTTGTGAGTGATCCGAATGGGCAAGAGCAGAAGCACAGATGATAGGTCGGATGTGGTTGAAGGTCTTGTCAAACACGGTGGGCAGGAAACCATAGTTACAGAAGAAGAAAGCTATGCCAGCAGCGCTGTGTCGGAGGTTGGCATCATCTGAACAGATGCAATGTAGGTGAAGAAACTGGGAGAACGGGATAGAACCTTTGCAGAATGTGGGGTGTGAAGAACTGTAGTGAAGGTAGCTATGGGAGTCAGTGGCTTTGTAATGGAGGCAGTGGACAGTTTATTCCCCAAAGTGGAGACGGAGAGGGCAAGGAAAGGAAGGGAAGTGTCAGAAATGGATGATGTAAAAGTTATAAAGTTTAGAATTTGGAGGCAAAATGAACAAATTTTTCAAGGTCCTGGCGGGACCATTAAGCGGCACCAAAGCAGTCATTGATGTACCAAGAGAAGAGTTGTGGGAGGGGGGCCAGTGTAGGACTGGAACAAAGATTGTTTCACATACCCCATAAAGAGGCAGGCGTAACTGGGACCCATGCGGGTGCCCCTAGCAGCTCCTTAGATTTGGCAGATGTGAGATGAATTAATTGTTCAGTGAGAGAGCAAGTTCAGCCAGGTCGAGGAGAGTGGTGGTAGTTGGGGATTGTTCAGGCCTCTGGTCAAGGAAGAAGCTGAGAGCTCTCAGACCATCCTAGTGGCGCTAGAGATATAAAGGGATTGGACATATATGGTGAACAAGAAGCAGTTAGGGCCAGGGAACTGAAAATTGTTAATATGGTGGAGCGCATCGGAGGAATTGCAAATGTAATGGGCAGGGCCTGAATAAGTGGAGGGACGATGGACTCAAGATAGGAGGAAAGGAGCTTGGTGGGGCAGGAACAGGCTGATATGATGGGGGCCTAGTGGGGCAGCCTAGTTTTTCAATTTTGGGAAGAAGGTAGAAGAGGACTCTTCGGGATTGGGAGACTGTAAGGTTGGAGGCAGTTGGGGGAAGATTTCTGGAGGTAATGAGGTCGGTGACAGTCCTGGCAACAATGGCTTGACGTGGAGTTGTTATCCGGGGGAGGTAGAAAAAAGTGATACAATCCCTACAGTGTGGAAACAGACCCTTCAGCCCAATAAGTCCACACCGATCCTCAGAACATCCCACCCAGATCCATCCACATATTACCCACCTAATCTACACATCCCTGAACACTACGGGCAATTTAGCATGGCCAATCCACCTAGCCTGCACATCTTTGGACTGTGGGAGGAACCAGAGCACCCGGAGGAAACCCATGCAGACACGGGGAGAATGTGCAAACTCCACACTGACAGTGTCCAAGAGTTGGTGTTGAGCCTCCGCAAGTAAAGACTACAATGGCACCACCTTTGTCAGTGGATGTGATAACAAAGTTAGGTTTGGACCTGAGAGAGCAAAGTGTGGCAATTTCAGAAGGGGATAGGTTAGAGCGGGTGAGAGGAGCAGAGAAATTGGGATAGCCAGTGTCGTGCTAGCAGTTTTCCTTGAAGAGATTGAGGGCAAGTAAAAGGCCAGAGGATGGGGTCCAAGTGGAGGGTGAATACTGGAGACAGGTGAATGGATCAGTGGAATGGGGTGTGAGGATTCCTGCCCGAAGAAGTGAGCGCGGAGACAGAGGCGACCGAAAAGCAGTTCAATGTCATGGTGAGCCGAAATCATTAAGATGGGGGCATAAGGGTATGAAGCTGAGTCTTTTGCCGAGGACAGTATATTGACCGTCAGAAAGGGGAAGGTCAGTTAGTTGGCACTCCCTAAGAAAGGAAACATGGCTGTGAAAGTGAGTTTTGGTAAACACCTTGTCGAAAACACCCTGATGGGGCCAAGGATCAAAATCAAAGGACAAAACAATGAAAGACTCCTCACAGTCCAGTTAATTTCTTGTCATCAAGGTAGCAATGCTGAAAATTGATGACATTTAAATCAGACTTCAGTTCAGATGGGAGTGAGTTAAAAATCCTGATAAATGACTTCACTAGGTTCTTAACAATATTTCAACTAAGAAATATCTTTGTAGATGATTCTGTTTTTGAGTTTCTGCTATTTTCAGAAGAATCAGAAACTGGCCTTCCCATCTTAGAAGTCTTTCTTCAACTGACCCTAAAGTTTACTGGAAAACACAACAGTTGTAGTCCAGAGGCTGTTGCTATGCAACTTGCACAAGTTTCACCAATTTGCCTAGCAATTAAAATAATAAAACCCATCTGAAGTGCCTTAAAAGCTTTACTTCTCCAAAGTCATTTTGTAAACTATAGGTGAAGCATTGCAGACTTCAACTCCTTACTCTTCAGTAATTACTGCTGATCACAAATCCCAGAAATTGCATGGTATATTCTTTTTAATCTAAAATGTCCACAGTGTTAAAGTAGCAAACCTCAGTTGTAACTGCGAGCTGTTAACTGCTTAATGGTATCTCCATGGATTTTGTGAATGACTTCATGGCAGTAGTGTTGAACAGTCCAACCACAACTAGCTAATTGATTTACTGTCACACTCCTCCTGAAGTTCTGCTCGGTTTTCTTCCGTGAAGCCTTCTAAACCTCTGCTTCTAAATCTTGATGATTTAAAACTTAATGGAACATTACTTTCACATCAAACAGTTTACCAGAAAAGTAGATATAGAAAATTGTCTATGTGAATCAGTTGGTTGTATTGACCAGTTAGCCTCCTGTCTAAGCAACTTTATGCTTGCCCCATGTCCTGTCATGCATTTTATTGTATTATTAGCTTTTTGCATGGTTGGGTATATCCTTTCCGTTTTACTATGCCTGTGTACTTCCAAGCAATGTAACTGTCATCACTGACCTGCCAGAGACTAAACAAGCCCTTGTTTAATAATATACAGGCAGTATGTCTGAGGCAACTCAGACTATGTGGTTTGCTGTTCACTGAATTCTCATCACACTGATCATATCAAAACTACTACAAAATAAGGAACGAATTTAACAAAAAGATAAACAAAATAATACTTTAGTGTTAACTCATCAAGTTATTTCATTCTTCCTTTCCCTTTTAGGATTTCTTATTAAAAATATTCTGTGTGTTCCGAAATTTAATGAAGCTGAGTGTCTACCCACGTGACTGGATGGTGATGAGACTTCTAACCAGCAAGTAAGTTGCCTGCAGCAGTTCAAGTAAATACATGTAGAGCAATTTAAAACATATCTGGTCACAGGTATCCCACTGTACCTCTTTGGTGGTAAAGCAAATTACCACCAAAGATAACAAGGTGTAGAGCTGGATGAACACAGCAAGCCAAGCAGCTGATGCTGCTTGGCCTGCTGTGTTCATCCAGCTGTACACCTTGTTATCTCAGATTCTCCAGCATCTGCAGTTCCTACTATCTCTTACCACCAAAGAGTTTGGCTCCCTTTATCCACTTAACCACCTCCTTCTCCATTCTCTATGCGCAAGCATAGGCACTAAATATTGGCAGGCCAGTCAACTATGCAGTCCTCAGAATGCAATTCTGTCTTGACCCTATATGTGTACATTTGTGCATGCACTTATGTACACTTTTAAGCGTGAACAGACGTGTCTTCACAAATGTACATGCACACAGATAACTGGTTAGCAATCAGGAAGAAAGACTCTAACTTCCTTCCTTAACCCAGGAACAATGAGGTCAATTATAACATATCTACAGGCTTAATAGTATTCTGAAAGAGAAACGGCAGGTTATTATTTCAGGTTGGCCCTTTTGTCAAAACTATTTTTTATTGATCTATCTTAGTTCAGTTCCAAGATTTTGTTTTTCCTAGCTGTGATGTAATGTCAGGATTATTAAAATCTAGTGCGAAGAGAAACAACTTATTCTTATACTAAGTATTACTAAGTAATACTGAATAGTACTAGATATAAAATACCACTAGTGAGGATTGAGACAGAGACTATGAAATCAGTTTTAAAAAAAAAAAGAAAATTTGGATGTATGTTTGAAAATTACTGAAAAGAAATCCAAAGAGAAGGGATGATACTAGTTGATTCTGGTTAAAGAGTTCACATCAACACACATGCAGCAGGCCGAATGGATATCATCTGTGGTTTGATCATTGAAATTCTGAGATCTGAATGGCCTTAGATTTACCTTTTATATATTTATTTTGCAGCATAATTGTTACAACAGTTCAATACCTTTCTCCTGCATTACACAAGAACTTCACAGAAGCAGATTTTGATTTCAAGGTGGGTTTAATTCTTAATTTCTACAAAAGAACAAAAAAAATTGTCTTAAATGGCCACCATATCTCATGTGAGCCCATCTGTGTGTTCTGCACAATAACAGCATCCATGGGCATGTTCATTTGCAGCTTTCTTTGGGCTTACAATGACAGTCTCTTTGTACAACAAGGACTCACTCAGTTCAGATCCAATACTAGTTTAGATGTCGATTATCTAGGATACCTTGACCAAAGAGGAAAAATTCAAACTAAGGTTCCTACCCATTATTTTGTAGCCATGTAATGGTGAAAATACAATCATGTGGATATCAATTAGGGTTTTACAGTGACATAATGCCACCTCCATGGCATAGTGTTCTGTCAGCATGGGATTTAAACCTTGATCTCAGAATTCTATCTTCCAACAGAGCTCAAACTCCCAGGAAGACAAGGAGCAAAAGACAGGACGGTGAGGATTGAGGCTCCATAATGATAGGGTGCAGACCCAGGGTACAGAGTTCAGGCACATGTTAGTACATTATGGTGTACTTGATGGAGATCAATCGTGATACATGTCTGCCATGAATATGTCCAAAATGTTCACATTAACCAGGACCCAGGAGAGGGGGTTATGTAGCAGCACTCAAAGCACATGGGAGCAGATGACAAATTGCACCCAAAACACCTGGGAAAATTCAATCACTAGAGTGCCATAGATTGAATGAAGTCTCTTAGAAGCTGCTCCTCCCAATCACAGGCTGGTTTTCTCCTGTCTTTACTGCTGACAAGTTAATCACTGAACCTAGCAGCAGAATGAGCCCATCAGCAGAAACGTGAGACAGCATCAGCCTGTGATTGGAGGAACAGCAATGTGGTGTGTCATGGCAATCAGTGTTTGCAGATTCAGGCTGGGCAAGTGTAAGTTCCCAGGCTGGGTGGGGACGAACAAAGATATGGAGGCTACCAAGATTGGGGAGATGGGGTGGGAGGAAGCGATTAAGGCAGCAGGTGTCTGGTGGGGCACAAGATAGGGGAAATTGCAGGGGTCAGAGTTTGGGAAATTGAGTGGGGAAGCCTGGAGGGAGAGAGGGTATCTGCAGGGTTAAGAGAAGCGAGAGACAGAGAGACAGAGAGAGAGAGAAAGGGGGAAATTGCAAAGGTCAGGGAGGGGAAAGATGGTTAGGGACAGAGGCTGCAGGAGTGGGAAGAGAACTTGGATCAAAGTAGAGGTTACAGGTTTGGAGTTGTGTATATTAATAAGAACAAAAGACTGCGGGGCGGGGACAGTAGAAATAGAGAGAGAGAGAGATAAAGGCTGTGAGGTAGAGGCTGCCTGGGGGTACAGAGAGGGAAACTGCAAGGGGGTTGAGAGGGCAGGCTGACAGGAAGGAAGCACAAGGAAACTGCTGGGGAAGAGATACATGTAGGCTACACAAGGCGGGGAAGAGAGGGAGGTTGCAAAGTGTGGTAAGTAAGGTAAAGGCTGCAAAGAATGTGTTGGGGGAGAGTGAGGCTGAAAGGCAGGGGAGCAATACTGGAAGGTGCAGAGAGACTTGAGAGGGTTAATGGAAGGGGAAATGGGAGATAGAGAGCATGACGAACAGTTGGGGATGCGAGGAGTTGGGATCACACAACATTGGTTTAATCTGTTTGATGTAATAAATGCAGAAGTTTTTTTTATCCCTTGATGATAAAGGCACTTTCCAACACTCCTTCAATAGATCAATCTTAGAAAGGAATAAGGCACTGCCAACCCTATCAATGCAGTCTTCCAATTGTGGAATTGAGTATGGATCTCTTTTTATTATCACATTTACCTTCTATGATTTATACAAAGTCTAGTTGATACATTGGTTTAGGAGCCAATACTGTCAGTCAAACCCAGCTACATTGACTAGGATCCATCATGTGGTTGTCCAGTATGTCTCTGTTTTCACCTGAGCTTATTTTTCTGGGTTCAGCTGATAAGGTTTTATTGGTCCTGACTCTCCTGTATCAAGACTATCTAATGTAGTACATCTCTATAGATTACCTCATACTTCCTCAGTAGTCTTACAAGATCCTCCCGTTGTCCTTTCTCGAAATATGTGGACACGTTGCCTAACTGTCCCAATAGATAAATCACTTTACTAAACCTTCTTGTTACTTTATGTGGATCACTGAATTTCACTTTCAGAGGTTCACCTTTTAAAGGCAAAAATGCCAATACTTCATCTCCTGCTTGAACCTCTGCAGTTGTTGAATGTTTATCTGCCCATTTTCACGTGTGAGACTTTGAAATGTTCCTGTGCTCACTACATACTCCTGTGAGTCTTCCTAGAAAGATGTAATCCAACATTGAGGATTCATCTGTCTCATTCATGAATTCTCTAATTTTAATGAAACACAGCTGACGTTGAGTCAAGGTGCCTGTGTAAAAGGGGCACCCAGATTTGAATCGGTGACCTTTACTGCGTTCAATTCTGATCTCCATTCTATAGGAAAGATGTTCTGAAACTTGAAAGAGTTCAGAAAAGATTTGCAAGGATGTTGAAGGGTTTGAGCTGTAGGGAGAGGCTGAACAGACTGGGGCTATTTTCTCTGGAGCATCAGAGGCTGATGGGTGACCTTCCAGAAGTTTATAAAATCATGAGGGTCATGGATAGGGTGAACAGCCAAGGTTTTTTTCCCCCAGGGTAGGGGAGTCCAAAACGAGAGGGCATAGGTTTAAGGTGAGAGGGGAAAGATTTAAAAGGGACCTAAGGGGCAGAGGGTGGTGCACGTATGGAATGAGCTGCCAGAGGTAGTGGTGGAGGCTGGTACAATTACAACATTTAAAAGGCATCTGGATGGGTAGAAGAATAGGAAGGGTTTAGAAAGATATGGACCAAATGCTGGCAAAAGAGACTAGGTTAATTTAGGATATCTGGTCGGCATGGACGAGTTGAAATGAAGGGTCTGCTTCCTTGCTGTTCATCTCTATGATCTCTGATCTCATGTCTATAAACTAATTCAGACAGGCTAAAATCAATGACATTATTTGGGAATCTCTAGTCCTGTGGACATTCAGGATAATTTGCCTTAATTTTGGATTTTAGAGTCTGATTATACCTCTGTAAAGCTCTTTGTGTTTGCTAATGAAATGCATTCGACTTCAATTATTTCATACCCAAACCGCTAATGATTTCCTGGAAAACTTCAGACATGAAATTAGAACCTTGCTCTGACGATATATCAATTGTTTGTCCAAACCAGGAAAATAAAGTGTTAAGTTTTCCATCACTACCCTGGCTGTGTTCATCCTTAAAGGGATAGCCTCTGGGTATCAAGTTGTCATGTCCATAATTATTAGGATGTACTGATGTCCTGATTTTGTTCTTAGTAATGGTCCTACATAATCTACTAATGCTTGACTAAATGATTCTTCAGAAACTGATATTGATATCAAAGGTGCAGATTTGATTTCACGTTGAGCTTTTCCTACTACCTGATATGTACGATATGTTTTACAGAACTACACTTCATCTTTATGAAGTCCTGGCCATGTAAAATAGCTGTTATCTGTTGCCTGCGTGTTCCTACATGTCCTGCCATAGGAACTTCATGCGCTACTCGTAGTATCTCCTTAGGATATCTGAGCAGTCCCACTGTCTTATGAACAGCCATCCATTCTACTTCTGCAAATTTGGATGTTGCCTGGTATGGAGGGAAGGTCTTATGAGGAAAGGCTGAGGGACTTGAGGCTGTTTTTGTTAGAGAGAAGAAGGTTAAGAGGTGACTTAATAGAGACATACAAGATGATCAGAGGATTAGATAGGGTGGACAGTGGGAGCCTTTTTCCTCGGATGGTGATGGCTAGCACGAGGGGACATAGCTTTAAATTGAGGGGTGATAGATATAGGACAGATGTCAGAGGTAGGTTCTTTACTCAGAGAGTAGTAAGGGCGTGGAATGCCCTGCCTGCAAAAGTAGTAGACTTGCCAACTTTAAGGGCATTTAAATAGTCATTGGATAAACGTATGGATGATAATGGAATAGTTTAGGTTAGATGGGCTTCAGATTGGTTTCACAGGTTGGCGCAACATTGAGGGCCGAAGGGCCTGTACTGCGCTGTAATGTTCTATGTTCTATGTTCTATGTTCTAAATCTGAAAGAATATCTCTGCTTCATCAAAACTCCGTTTCTTATTTGGTGGCACTCTGATACCCTTTCAGCCCTGGATTCAGTGTGAACTGTCTTTGCTAACTTACTTAACAATGGATCTGCTTCCTGAGCCTCAGTTAATAAAGACATGTCAAACACTTCCTTTGAGCAAAAACAAAGTTGCTGGAAAAGCTCTGCAGGTCTGGCAGCATCTGTGGAGGAGAAAACAGAGTTAAGTTCTGAGGGAGGGTCACTGGACCCGAAACGTTAACTCTGTTTTCTCCTCCACAGATGCTGCCAGACTTGCTGAGCTTTTCCAGCAACTTTGTTTTTGTTCCTGATTTACAGCATCCGCAGTTCTTTTGGTTTTTACTTCCTTTGAGCTATCATCATTCTTAAATAGAATATCAGCTGCTGAATATCTGCTTGTGGTATTACTGCAACCTTAATGATGGACTTTGTTTAGCTATCACCACACATGATGGAAAAACGCGTGGGACCTATTCCTGCAACTGTACTATTCTTTAGCCTCAACTGGACTTTCTGTGCTTATAGGCAAAGCTATGACTTTCATTCTTGCCAAATCATTCCCCAGAAGTAAACCAACTCCATTCACAGATAATTTTGTAACTACCCTGAATACTACTAGTCCAGAAAACAAGCCACATTGTAATTGCACCTTGTACCGTGGAGCTGTGATATACTCTCCACCTATCCCATTTACCAACACGTTGGCTTTCAATGAACTGTGTGGAGAGAAAACTAAATCCTTCTCCAGCAGGAAAGTTTGAGTAGTCTCTGTACCCCTTAGAATAGTTATGGGCTTGAAAAGAAGAAAAAGGGATTAGCTTTCCTTTAGGTAAAAGCCTTTCATATCTCTCGTTTACCCTATATATTTCTTCTGAAGCCACTGCAGTGTTTGCCTCCGGTCTGTTAGTTATAGGCAAAGCTACAATCTGATCCTTTTCCTGCTGAGGTTCCTTTTCAGGCTCATTCTTATAAGTTCTAAAATGAGTTTCTCTTTCAACTTCTAACTTTACAAATGAATGTGTCCCACTTTGTTACAGTGGAAACACCATGGCTTCAAATTCTCATCTCCACTCTCAACTTTCCTTTCTGATGTGAGGAAACCTCCGTGGGACAGTACCAGCTACCCATTCCTTACCTTGGCTACTTGCCTTCCTTTCACTCTCATTTTCTATAGCTTTTGAATTTATGAGGGTGATGAGAAAAAGGTTTAGCTTTGTAATCATCAGCTATTATCACTACCTGTCCAGCAGTAACAACTCTTTCGTCCTCAACATGAGTTGTTATTACAGAAGGTAGTGAGTTTTTAAATTCTTCTGAGAGAACAACCTCTCTAAGAGTTGCATACATAGTTTCACCCTCTAGTGCTCTCATCCACCTGTCAAAATTAATTTGCTTAACCTTTTCAAATTCAATATATGCTTGTCAAGGCTGCTTCCTTAAAGTCTGATGCCTTTGCCTATATGCCTCAGGCAGTAACATCATTTGCAGTTAATATAGTTTTTCCCACTGCATCACTTATAGAGTCATAGAGTCATGGAGTCATACAGAACAGAAACAGATCCTTCGATTCAACTCATCCATGCCAACCATATTTCCCAAATAAAACTATGGGCCTGTGTTTGGCCCCAAATCCCTCTTAAACCTTTCCTCTGTATATATTTGTCCAAAAGTCTTTTAAATGTTACACCTGTATATACATCTTAATTTGGCAGTTCATGGCACGTAACAGCAACCCTGTGTGTGAAAAAGTTGCCTTGCAGATCTCTTTTAAATCTTTCTCCTCTCACCTTCAAAATATGCCCCTAGTTTTGAACTCTGCCACTCAAAGGAAGAGAACTTTGCTATTCACTTTATCTATGCCCCTCATGATTTTATAAACTTCTATAAGTTTGCCCCTCAACCCCCTACACTCCAGTGAATCAAGTCCCAGCCTATCCAGCCTCTCCTTATAATTCACACCTTCAGTCCTAGCATCTTCCCGGTAATTCTTTTCTGAATCCTCTCCAATTTAATAATATCCTCCTATAGCAGGGTGACTAGAACTATACATAGTACTCCAGAAGTGGCCTCATCAACCTCCTGTACAAACTCAATATGAGTATATTCAAGTTTTTCTTTTCTCATTTCTTTTCCATTCATCTCTTTTCATATATCCCATTCCTGTTTACTTAATTCCAACTCCCTTTCCTTATCTTTTTTGCCCTTTCTTTACGTTTTTCTGCCATCTGTATTTTTTTCATTCTCTGGTAATGCTCCAGCAACTTCAACTGTGAGTGAATATCATGTGATTGTGACATTTCCCTATCTGAAGCACTGGGACATTTTTGTACTTCCTCTAAACCTAAATGATGTGCTGGTATCTTAATTATCTCTGCCTTTTTAGCTCTGTCAGGCAATGCTATCTGCAGTTTACCCACCAAATCAATCAACCTTGCATTTGAAATTTGCTTTATGGCTACCAGTGACAACTCTGCCTCCTGCCACTATAAGTATTTAGACTATAGCTACTAGTAAACAGATATAGACCATTGACATATAACACTACAATTGACAAATAACACTAATGTAATATTCAAAATACCATGCAAGGACTGTGAGAAACATTAGTCTATTCATGCCCCTCATGATTTTATAAACCTCTATATGGTCATCCCTCAGCCTGTAACGCTCCAGGGAAAATAGCCCCAGCCTATTCAGCCCCTCATGATAGCTCAAACCCTCTAATCCTGGCAACATCCTTGTAAATCTTTTCTGAACCCTTTCAAGTTTCACAACATCCTTCCTATAGCAGGGCAACCAGAATTGCGTGCAGTATTCCAAAAGTAGCCTAACCAATATCCTGTAAAGCTGCAACATGACCTCCCAACTCCTGTACTCATTGCCTTCCCTTTTTTTGTCATCTGCAAATTTGGTTTTTGTACATTCACTTTACTTATCCATGTCATTAACATATATTGTAAGTAATTGTGGCACTCCACTAATTACAGTTTGCCATCCTGAAAATGCCCCCTTTATTCCAACCATCCTTGTTCTTCATGAATTCCACCAATATTCTTTCTGTCACCTTCAACTGAGCATATTATTGCACTGCCAGTCCACAGGAATTGCTCCTTGCCCTTCTCTGTCTACCATGTTACTTTAACAAGTAAATTTAAACCCCATTCACCTGGAGTGAGACTTACTTTATCTTGATTTAAAGATCTAATCTGTTTGACCCCCTCATTAAGAAAGTAAATCTTTATGTGTTTAAATGTGTTTAAAAAGAAAGCCTTAAACAGTGAAATCTGCAGTATGTTTCCAAAAGGGTCTATGAAAGCTTGTATTTGTCAGACTTTGACAGAATAATCAGAGAGGTGGCTTTATGATGGAGATGTTTGCCTTATTGCTACTGAATTAGTACAGCACTCTGATCTGGTTGTCCTCAGATAACTGCAACTTAGAGTTCTTGTTGAACAGTTCTCACTGTGACCCATTTCTATAGGTGTGGAATTCGTATTTTAGTTTGGCTGTCCTATTTATAAATCAGCCAAGTCTTCAACTAGAACATGCCACACCTGCCAAAAGGAAGAAGATTTTGGATAGGTGAGTACTGTCAACATTGCCATCTTTCAGGAGAACATTACCATTCTCTGTGAACAGCCTGTGCCAAGAGTTATAGTTTTGATAAGAAGGAAGCCTGCATTATATAATATAGGCATGAAATATAAAGTAACAAATAATACGACTATAGTTGGTTCAACAGAAATAAATTTTCCAAGGTGATTCACAGAAACATTATAAAGCACAATCTGACACCAGGTCACCTAAAGTGATAACAGGGAAGAGAACGTGAAGCTTGGAAAAAGGGGTAGTATTCGTGGCATGTATGAAGGGGTAAAGAAATAAAGAGAAGGGATGGTTTAGAAGGAAATTCCAGGAGCTGGGTAGCTGAAGATATAGCTCCCAGTATTGGAACAGTTAACATCAGGATTGTGCAAGAGACCAGAAATAGCTGAGCACTGATCTCTCAAATGGTTGTAAGGGTGATTGATGGATCGGTAGGGGATTTTAAAATAGGGGTGAGAACTTCAAAATCAAGATGAAACTTAATCAGGGTTAATGTAATGTAGGTCAATGAGCACAGGGTTCTGGTCAACAGGAGGTTAAGCAGGAGTGAGTTGGATTCTTCATCCTTAGAGGTAACTAAGGCACGGATGAGGGATTTAGTAGCAGATGAGCTGAGGCAGTGGCAAAATTGGGGTGTATTATTAAAGGTAAAAGTGAGCAAATCAACTGATATCATCAATATGTGTTTGGAAGCACTTATTGTTATCAGATGTGGCGCCAATGTTGCGGACAGTCAGGTTCAGCCATAGTTTCTTGCCAGGGAGAGAGAGAATTTCAATAGCTAGGGAGCAGCAATTGTAGTGTGGACTGAAGATGGTGACTTAAATATTCCCAATATTTAGTTGGAAGACATTTTTACTTATCCAATAATGGATGTTGGAAATCAGTCTGATAATTTAACCTCAGTGGATGAGTTGAGAAAGATAGCAATGAGATAGAGCTGAATATCATCGAGGTGAAAAATAACATTTGTATTTTCGGATGATGTGTCAAATGAAAAATAGGAGGAAAGCAAGACTGATCCATAATCATGCAGGAGTTTGAAAGAAAGCCACTGTAAGTGACGTTCTGGATCTGATTTGAATGAAACAAGATAAGAATAGATATTAATGCAAAAAAAGTACCTACTTTTTTTTCCTGAATGATGGGGCCAATCAATAAGTGATGAAATCAACCATATTTGTGTTACATATTTACTGGGTACTGTCTGTCTTTGCCTTGACCTGCATTCTTTCATATTTTCTTCCTGGCAGATATGGTGATATGAGAGTGATGATGGCCTATGAACTCTTCAGCATGTGGCAGAATCTGGGTATGCTATCATTATTTGACTTGGTATAAAATCTATGACAAGTAAATGAGGGGAATCTAAATGATATGTTACAGATATGGGCTGCACACTATCATTCATTATTGGGAATCCACGGGGTATATTAAGATCAATAGCACATGAAACAACACGTGTTTGAAAAACACAAAAGAGAAGTTGCTTTAACCTGTTCATTCTGATTGGGCCTCACAGGTCACAGCAACTATAGTATAAATTGACCTTTGTGTTAAATAAGCCAATAGACTATGAAGATGAACTCAGCTCTTTAGAGTTTTTAGTTTATGGTTCTGGCTGTGCCAGTATTGTCCCAGAATTCCTATTCATCCAGTATTCTAGAACCAAGACAGTGTGCCGTGTATCAAATTTTCTAATGCAAATACTGAAGATTTGTTTTGAAACAAATAATAAATATGGAGTATAATGCAGTGTGCATCCTTGCCATCAACCAAATAATCTGGAAGATAAAATGCAATTTTTAAAAGAGATTTTTTGTTATACCTCTTCTGAGGAAATGTACCAATGGTGTGATACTCAGCAATAGAGACCCAATAAATCTCGGTTACAGTCTCCAATCTATGCTAATGTCAGAAATAGAATGTATGTGTTCTCTTACTAGTCCAAATCAATATGTTTTTATGGAAAAAGGTGCATCTTGTTTTATCCTTTGGGTGTTTGTTTCAAATAAATACTTCAACAGGGAACTTCCATGATTTTAAAATAACGAGTGTTATTTATTCTGTCATATTTCCACTGATTAATGCAATATCACACACTCAGTGTCACATTGCATTTACACCCAAAAATTAGATGTAGATAAAGATGGTGCACTTCTGCAGATTATAGTTAGTTCAGTCATGGATTTATGATCAGCGGATATTGCAGCTGCTACTAATTTGCAGGCTTTCTTGTATAACTCTTATGGTTTTTACATTTCAGAATCATAAGATTTTTATTTTGAATCATTTTAGAACTGTTGTCCAAATAATTACAAAAAAAACACAAAAAAATAGTGTATTTTTTAAACTGAGTTTGTGTTGCGGGGGGGGCCTCCACATCTTTGTTGAGTATTGATCTGAAGAGAGAATTTTTTTTCTCTTTCTCGTTTTAATCATTTATTTTTCTAAAAATATACATCTAAAATAAGTTTAAAAAAACTAAATAACGCGAAAACAAAATAAAAGCAGTTTTTTTTACAATCGCGAAGTTTTTTTCAATAGAGTTTGTGTTTATTGAGTTTCTGACAAAAAAAAAATCACGTAAAAAGAACACAAAAGAGAGATTGTTGGTTTATATACGGAGCTTGTGGAGAGACCTACACTTGGATGGCTCTGGAGAGTGGTTTTTTTAATCCGAAGATTGAAAGCTGAATGTTAGATTATTTGAGGGGGAGTTTTTTTTTTGTTTGTTCAGCTAAGTGATTCCTTTTTAATATTTATGTGTTTAATTTTTTTTGCATAGTTATTATTAAATCTGTGGGTAAGGAAAGGTAGTTACTTTTTATATATCAGGTGCTATTGAGCACTTCTTTTTAGACTTCATGTCACTGAGGACATATTAGAGACTCTGAGTGTGATGACTAGTAGATTTATAGAAGTGCTTACCCAGCAGGATCAGTCAGATAAATGATTGACTGTCAGGAAAGGTAAGAAGGTAGCTCAGAAGTCTCCTGCAGCTATTCCTCTCTCAAACAGATATTCCATTTTGGATACTGTTAAAAGAGCTAATCTTTCAGAGGAAAAGGGAAGAAGTAGTCAGATCTTGGGCACGAAGAATGAATCTTATGTTAAACTAGATTTGTCAAGATTTAGAAGAATAATTGTTATAGGAGACTCTGCTGTCAAGGGCACAGACGAGAGATTCTGCGACTGTGAGCATGAATTTAGGATAATTTGGGATGTAAGATGTATGGAATCCACAGTGACTTGACCACTTGGATTTAGAATTGGCTTGCTCACACAAGGCAGAGGGTAGTGGTGGAAAGGTGCTTTTCAGGCTGGAGGTCCAGGACTAGTGGTGTCCTGCAGGGATCCGTGCTGGGTCCTGTACTGTTTGTGATATATATAAGTGACTTGGATGAAAATGTAGATGGGCGGGTTAATAAGTTTGCAGATGATACAAAGAATGTAAAAGGTTGTGAAAGGATACAACAGGATATAGGTCAGTTGCAGATATGGCCGGAGAAACGACAGATGGAATTTAGTCTGTATATGTGTGAGGAACTGCACTTTGGGAGATCAAATGTTAAGGAAAAGTATACAGTTAATGACAGGACCCTGAATAGCATTGATGTACAGAGGGATCTTGAGGTTCAAGCCCGTAGCTCCTGAAAGAGGCCCCACAAGTTGATAGGGTGATAAAAAAGGCATAGTGGCATGCTTGCCTTTATTGGTCAGGGAATTGAGTACAAGGGTCAAAATGTCATATTGCAGCTTAATAAGACTTTGGTTAGGCTGCACTTAAGAATACCGTGTTCAGTTCTAGTCACCACATTACAGGAAGGATGTGGAAGTTTTGAAGAGAGTACAGATGAGGCTTACCAGGATGCTGCCTAGATTAGATGGTATGTGCTATAAGGAAAGTCTAGAAAAACTCAGGTTGTTTTCTGCGGAGCAGCAGAGGCTGAGGGGAGACTGGAGAGAAGTCTATAAAATTATGAGATGCATAGATAGGGTTAACAGTCAGAATCTTTTTCCCAGAGTTGAAATGTCTAATACTAGGAGGCATGCATTTAAGGTGAGAGGGGGAAAGTTCAAAGGAAACGTGCGGGGCAGGTTTTTTGCACAGAGTGGTAGGAATGTGGAATGCGTTTCCAGGGGTTGGGGTGGAGGCAGATACAATAGGGGCATTTAAGAGACTTTTAGATAACCACATGAATATGCAAGGAATGGAGGGATTTGGACCAAGGACAGGCAGAAGGGATTAGTTTCATTTGGCATTGTGTTTGGCACAATATCAAGGGCCAAAGGGCCTGTTCCTGTGCTGTACAGTTCTATGTTCTATACTATTTTGATTTCCTATGCCAGTGTTAAGGATATCTTAAAATGTTTAAAGCATATTGTCAAAGGGAAGAGTGAGAAACTGGAAGTGTTGTACGTATTGGTAGGAATGACATAGTTAGGGAAAGGTTTAAGGCTTTACAGAATGAATATAACAGGTTAGCTAGAAGGTTAAAAAACAGAACATCAGAAATAGTAATCTCTGGTTTACTTCCAGTGCCAGGTTCTAATGAGGGAAAGAATAAAAGGATAGGGGAGATAAATAAGTGGCTGAAGAGGTGGTACAACATGCAGGAATTCAGTTTTGTGGATCATTGTGATCTCTTCTGAAACAAAAAAGATCTGTTCAAAAAGAATGGGTTTCACCTGAACTGGAAAGGGACCAATATCCTGGCAGGGAGATTTGCTAGTTCTATTTTGGAAGCCCTATAAATCTTCCGTGAGGAGTGTGGTTCCTTTGTAATAGTGAAAATTCAAAGAAAGATGAAGATGGTTATGAATCAGAAAAGAGCAAGTTAATTAGAAAAGACAGACGAGCAAGTCAGAGAACGAAGTAACTCTGAAGAATTAAACTGTTTGTGATCTTACAGGTAAGGCTGATCAATTCAGGGTACATATGGGAACATGGGATTGGGACATTGTAGCTATTATAGAAAGTTGGCTGAGGGCAGGATAGGACTGGCAGCTAAATGTTCTGGATTTTAGATGTTACAGTAAAGATAGAAAGAGAGGCAAGAGAGGAGGAGAGAGTATTTTTGATTAAGGAAAAACATTACTACTGTAATTAGAGTGATCTGAGTGATTGATTAGTGAAAATATAAGGGTTGAAATTAGAAATAAGAAATGGGTGATCATTTTGGGATGTACTATAGGCTCCCCAATACTCAGAGGGAAATCCCTTAAAGATCAATGAGGTTGTCATTGTGTTGACTCTCAAGAGATGGGAGAGATATTAAATAAATATTCCATGTCAGTTTTTTTATTTGGAGAAAGAAATGGCGGCGAGAAAACTCGGGGAAATAAATATTGATGTTTCGAAAACAGTTCACATTACAGAAGAGGAAGTGTTGGAAGCGTTGGAAGTCTTAGAAAACATGAAGCTAGATAAATCTGCAGGACCTGATCAAGTTTATCCCAGGATGTTGTAGTTAAGTTAGGGAGGAATTTACAGGGTCCATAGCAGAAATATTTATATTATCTATAAACACGGGAAAAGTACCTGAGCACTGGAGGGTGGCTAATGTTGTGACATTGTTTAAGAAGGGATGTAAAGTGAAGTCTGAAAACAAAGACCTATGGGTCTGACATTGGTGGTGGATAAGTTGTTGGAGGT